GATCGCTGTCCGTGGGTGTATTGCCGAGCGACCGGAAATGGTCGTTAATGAAGCCAATTCCAAAAGACGGTGACCCATACAAGCTAGACATTTACCGGCCGATTTGTATCACATCTGTTTTGGCGAAGGTGCTCGAGAAGGTAGAGAAAAAGAGTCTTCTCTAGCTGATGGAGTCAAAAGATCTAACACCCGCACAGCACTGTTTCATGAAAGGTCGCTCGTACGTCCCCAACCTGCTGTTGCCGTAGCAGGCATGGTTGCAAGCGCTGAACCTGTGGAAATCAGTGGATGTTATCTACATTGATTTCAGCAAGGCTTTCGAGAAAGTGAACCACGAGATCCTGCTCCACAAGCTGAGGATGCGTAGGATTGGCGACGCACTACACCAGTGGATCAGTGACTTTCTTATTAGGCGAAGATGGCGGGCACAGGTGGATGACCACCTTACAGAATGGTACCCTTCCACTGGCAGTGTACCTCAAGGCAAAGTGCTAGGACCAATTTTATTTCCGGTCCACGTAAACGAAGTGCCTCAACGTCTTCGGTCATCTTGTGCACTGTTTACAAACGAGTTGAAGACTTGGATGTTTATTGGTTCTCCCGACATCTGTGACGTCCTTCAGCAGGACCTCAACCGCCTATGTCGGTGAGCTGCAGAAGTTGACCTACCGGTCAACCCGGTCAAGTCCTGGTTTAGGAGACCGGGGAGGGTGGTAATGGGCGTACGTACACCCTAGCCGGCAACTCGTTGCATCTCACCAGTTCCGTACAAGATATAGGTGTATTCTTATGCTTTGATCCGAAGTCTGTCAACAACATGGACCACGCTCGCTTCGGGCACTTAGACGCAGCTTCTACACTTGGTCTGAAGAGATTGTCACCCGTCTGTTCTCTTCCATGATAAGAACGGTGTTTGAGTACGGCTCACCAGCTTATTGTCCGATCACAATAAGTAAGGTGCAGAGAATGGAACCGGTCCAGCATACAGCTCTCCTGCTCATCCCCAGTTTACTGGATATGTCGGAAGAGGACCGATATAGGAGACTAGGGTTGTATACCCTGTCATATCGTCGGCTTCGAGTTGACCTCATAATGAAGCGCCGCATATTGCACCCGGGCCACTTGCATCTGTTTAGGTCGCAGCTGCACGGTCGTGTACCAAGCAGCACGCGCGGACAAACTAGTGGTACCGGATTTAAAGCACATCGCTCACCCTTTATGTTTCGAGCGTCGAGTGTTGTAATATCGGGCAATGTCGCCGGAGACACTAGTCGAAACGAGATGGGTGTCGGAATGTAAGAGCTTCCTCGATGCCCACTTTGCGGATTACAGGTACAGGGGGTGCACCGTACCCGGATAAGATTTAGTGCAACTGCAATATACTGCCACCGCACAGGAATCAGTGACGTGATTCCGCGCATGTGCCTGATGCACGTAGGATGGAGCAACACATATTCTTAACTTTCTGCTCTCTAGGCTCAGTATTGAGTATTCACTGAAGCTCGCAGAACAGTGTAGCCGTCTGGGGTGCTACAGGAATTTCTTTTGCATTCGGGTTTAGTCATCGGTGGAATCACTTGTCTCTGTACCGATGGTACCAATAGTTAAAATACCGTTGGATGACGAAATCCTTTACTTACACTTTGTTACTTAGCATTACGTCTCTATCTTACTCCTGAAATATACCATAGATTTATTTTCTGTTACCTGTGGGGCTGTGAAAATACGCGGATCGCAGTACTACAGTGGAAGAAACGATAAGTCCTTCTTTTCATACTTAAACTATTAAATGTTTTATTATTATTTTTGTGATAACCTCACCAAACTACCCTAAGAGATTTGTAAAGCATTTCTTCTTAATCCGTATAAATGCACCGTGCATGGTTCAAACTAACACCAGTCCATGCGCGACACACCAAGCAGACTAACCTGACAACTATGGATGTGATGCATTTTCCACATGTGTTCTCGTGGACTATCATTGCAAGCAATTCTACTCTTCCACATGCCGAGTATTTCAGAAACGCGGTTTACGTCATGACTCGTCCACGGGAAAGTTCGCTCATTTATTATCTAGTGCGAGTCAGTTCACATACGGAACAAAGATTGTCATATGCAATCAAGTGAAATGGCCGAGACGGTGATGAGATAGGCTCAAATGGTCGTGTCAAACACCACAACTCGAGTAGACATATATGAAGCCACACTGGTGTGCCAGCGTTGGGAAGAGCAACACGTAAAATATATCCATTCAGGATACGGTCCTCGAAATCGGAATGACCGAGGTTTACCTCAAACTGAGGCGGGGTCTCAGTAGAGGTTGCGAGTCGCAACCCAACCACACAGCGTGCTCCCTAAATTCAGCTTTGAAGAGGAGAATGTCTTGCAGGCGACATGCAAAGCAAAGGAACTGGCCAAATTACTCGGTCGTAGGACTAACAATCGAATGTCTTTTATTACCGAACTTATTGGTGAGGAGGGTCGCCACCTTAACGACCCACCCGTTATTTGTGAAGCGTTTAACAGCTTTTACGCTGCTTCCATGAACCTAGAAACCGACCTTATACCTTGCTGTCCGAGAACTTACAACAAGCCGCATAGGTAATGTCGCGTTTTCTCTTTCGACTATCCAACAGGCTATGAAGTCCATCACACCATCGCTCAAACCAGACTCCGACGGCATCCCCCCATCAGGTAGTAACCCTGATGGACCTGACATACCACGGCTTTTGCTAAACACGTTCACCTTGTCCTTAGGATCTAGCTACTTTTCGGATTAATGGAAAACATCGTTTATTGTTCTTTGTCATAAAAGGGGACCAAAACAGCACGTCACTAAGTATCGACCTATCCATCATACTCCCGTCATCGCTAGATTACACAAAAAATTAGTTAAAAGTAGAATCATGGACTTTACCCATCATCATGGGCTACTTAACAAATCCCAACATGCCTTCCTCGACAAACATTCCTGTGCAACGTGTCAGTTGCACTATCTGGATTATGTCACAGAAGCCATTGATTCGAAATATGCAGTTATAGTACTGTTCTTGGATATGCAGAAAGCACTCGACAGAGTGCCCCACAAGCCGTTACTGAAAAGAATCGAGTCGTTTGGAATCAGAGATCCACTAATTGTTTGGTTGACATCATATCTAAATGGGCGTTATCCGATAGTCACTCTGGGTAATCATAACGTCCTCCAACGTCCAATCACTAGTGGTGTCATCCTTCCCATCTCCTACTTTATATTAACAAGATCACGGTGTTTATAAAACATGGTAAGCCATTTTGTTCGCCGATGACATAAAGGGTGTTTCTAAATTTCGACGAGACCAACTCAATAGTGCGATGCTGTTCGTTCAAGAAGACCTTCATTCCCTTGTGAAATAGTGCTACACACAGATGGTAAACTTCTCAGCTAGTAAATCTTGCATTATGTCAGACGGCTGTTTAATCCCTGAAGAGTCTGTTAAACTGAACAATGAACGTATCTGTGTGAAACTATGCAACTGTGATCTAAGCATACGATACTCTTCAAACTTTAATTTCTCAAAGCAAGCTGTGTATCAAATAGCACGTACCAAACGATCTGTGGCTAACATATGCCATAAAATCTATACAACCCCTGATTGACTCGAGCTTTTCAAAATACTTCCACTTACTGTCCTTGAATACTGCAGCAATATCTATGAGAACATGCGAATGGGTGACAGGAAAGCTTTAGAAAACATGCAAAGATCATTCACTAAGCGCTTGTTCAGTAAATCAACCACCTTGAGTTATCAGGAGCGCTGGCAGCAGCTTGAGCTCGAGCCGCTTTGATTGTAACAACTGAAACATAACCTGATGCTGATACACAATCTCATAAATTAAAAGGCATACTCCAATCTGTGTACATTTAAATTCAACATAACTTCCCTCAGAATATAAGCAACAAGACCTGTACATTATGTGTGCCGAGAACCAGGACAGCTATTGGATCCATCTTCTTCCTCGTCAGATACGCTGTCGTGTCGAATAGCCTATCAGCCACAATCAGGTCTTGCACAAATGCAAGAGTATTCCACATTCAGCTTAGCAAATTCCTTGAACAGAATTCCATAATGACCTTGTTTTCCTCGGGTAAATCACCACACGAGTTCTTTCAGGATGGACCAACGAATATATACTCAATGCTTAAAGATGGTACAAAGAACTCAGCAACAACAAAATTCACGTACTTCAAATTATTTCGATATCATATTACATATTTCATTCATGCATGTGCATGATAATTATTGGACCCATGATCTGTCCACAATCCAGGACAGCTTCTCGTATACTCGGGAATTACACGTAGTATTATTATTAGTAGTATTAAAATATAGGTAATATGGGTGATGTAATGCATTGCCAAGTCAGCAATCGTAGTTGGCGAATGTGAAGCAGTGACGAATGAGTGCCGTGATTTCGTGCCTCAATTTTCCGATTTGACCAGCGCGTCACCAGAAGCGTGACAAAAAGCGTTGCGTAGTAACATATCCAAACCAACAATGCGGGAATCGAAAGGACTAAGAGATTTGTTGCAGACGGATTCAACCAAGTAACTGCCACATATTCGAGCGGTCACAAGTCAAACGCGTTGTCATAGTGAGGCTCAGCATGCCTTTTCCTCAAATCCCACCGTCTTCAAAATTACTAGGCATTGGTTTGTGCCACTGATGCGCAGTCAACAGTAGCGCACAATCATGCTTAAACAGCAGCTGTCTTACATCGCTATTCATAAACCATTTTACACGCGCTCTCAGGGTTACCTACTCTCTTACTGAACTGGTGTTCTTTTTGTAGCCCCATGGGCATATTCTGGTGGCTGCTGATTTTTATCAAGTGACTTAGGACTTTGAAGAACCTGGGTAACTGTGGCTATCCTATTGCGCAGCTTGATGTACTAATGTATTCAGAAAACAAAACTACTGGGAAAGCAGGAAGTCAGCATTCCATCCTTTGACTAGAGACATCTTTCACATCTGCTGCTACTTCATAGCATAGAGCTGTCATTTTCTCCGTATTAAACTACAACGACGCTTTTTATATCTGATGCTCATGACAAGGCCGGTGGCAGAGGGGGGGCTCTCATCAGTAGTAAAGTTTAGCATCACCCGGGGTAGATTGGGTACTAGATTCGTAAAAGGTGCTCACAAATTCTTGAACTCATTTACTAGGACATTTATTACTTTCGAGTAAACAGAGTTCAGGAGTGAGGCATACGAACATAAATAGTCACGCAGGATGATACATGTTTGTCATCGCTATTAAGCAAATGGACCCATCCTCAGGGGACTATGTGGTAACGAACATGCAAATACAAGTTTAGAAGTTGTGCTAAAGATCTAGTGGACGCCGTGCCTTAAGAGAATCATAAAATATACGTTTGAGTTTATTACGCGAATAATAACATAGTATAATAAAAGGAGGCAAAGGTGCGGGATGGCGGCCAATGGACGAGTGGTATGCGCGCCTGGTTTGCAACCATGCAGTCTCCCCATTCCGAATCGGCGTAGGGGTGATCATCCTCGCGGTATCTCAGCCCGTTCGCGAATAATGGTAAACGCGCGGCGGCCAAGCACCGTTACGGTGTACAGCTGACAAATTATTATTCTTATTTAATGTGTGGAAGACACCTGTTTTAAATAGATTATTGCTTTCTGTATGTATAGTAACAAACAATACGTACGTATACTACTTACGCAGGCTTACTAAATACTGCTTGCTTCCACTATTTTCCTTTCCGTAAATTCTGCTGTAGCCGGTGCAATACATTTGGAACCACCGCTAGTTCATCGCTTTCAGAGGTGGAGTGAAGCGAAGCCATAGATATGGTTGGCGGCATCCGGTTCCGGATTTGCCTGTCCCTGTGGCTAGCCACAAGACGCCTGCGCCTACAGAGGGACCATGGTTGGCATGCGCTGCAGCACCCACAGTTCCATCCACACACCCCATATCCAGTGTAAACCCGAAGGAATAAGACCGGGAGGCATGTCCATGGGAGCCATGTTTCATCAACGGAGCTGGCCTACACTCCTTCACAGGCAAACACAAGCACGCTGTATTTGGGGCATCAAGCGCGCACAAGGCGGTGGCTGGACCGTAGTCCACTCCACACTGAGTGCATGGAACCACTCTTTGATCCTAACACGGCCACAAGGACCGTGCAACCCGTCCCCTCCAGCAACGAAAACGCTTGTATATATTTAGGCTGACCAGCCTCTTTGGATTTATACCCCAAATTCACGGTCGTAAATCTGTGCGAACCGGTGAGTACTCCATTTTTATTTGCTACCTTCACCAACGATAACAATTTCTTAGCCAGTTTTGCGTCGTACCACTTTATCCCCCTAAAACTGTTATACTTCTACCTTTATCTCACTGACGCTCCTTACTTCAACCACTTATGTGGTTTGCCAATCTGTTAGTATTTCTATTGCCAACCTGCGGGACTCGTTAAGTGTATGCTTTTTTACCCGTCATATACCATTGTTCCATTGTTCCATTGTTCACACCGTTAAGAAATCCAATGCAGCTTACCTACAAACGTTGCGTTGGTTCTGCTTACATTCTCAGCAGAACCCGTCGTCGTTTCGATGCTGGTACCGAGTGACCTCACTTGTAGCTCGCTAGACTTGACTGACTCAGGCACTAGCAACTGCATATGCTACAGCACCACCCATTTGACATAGATGAAGTAAACCGCATCTGAAACTGACGCTTCCGCACGTGCCGCTTCTTCTGTGCATGTGTCAGGGCTTTCTCCCGCACTTCGGCAACTGCCTTCGTGATTAGATCACGCCATGCACGGCGATCAACCACCTTCGATTCCCATGACCTGCAATAAGGATTAGAACGTCAGAGACTCACTTGCATCATGTCCTGGTAACGTAACCGGTTTTCTCACACGCTGATTCTCTCCACTCAGTTGACCA